GAACATATAAACCAACAATTGAGGTACTGACCTCAGGCCGCAAACGGCCGATTGTGCTCACTCTTTTATTTCACTAGAAGGGTGAAACTTCAATCTTTGTCAGAGAGGCTTATGAGCCCCTGACAAATGGCAATCTTTTCCAAGTGCTTGAATTGAACTTGAATCAAGAGCCACTTGACGATTTACGTTTTTTAATAAGATCACGAAGTGTGTTTCTCATCTTCTCCCGCTTTCAAAAAATACTCTTTTTTAAAACTAATCTGTTTGATTAAGACTTTGTATTCCGTACTTCGAATCCGAATTTTAAAGAAATAGCAACAAATCAAAATCCAAAAGTCAAGAAAAAACCTCGGTTTAATCGAAAAAAAATACCCTCTCGATTGATACCTTGTCCGGATGCCGGAAGGAAAATCGATTTTTCACATTCTCAAAAGTTTCTCCCGGGAATTGCGAAAACAATCATGGACAAGACAAACAGCCAAGCACAACTAATTGCCATTTTTCCGGAAGCGGATGACCGGCAGTTGTTCCGGTATTGACCCGTGCAACTCGCGTATCCCATGACGTGGGCAATGTAATTTTGTTCATGCACCCCGTGGAACATGTGTGCCATGGGTCCTGTGAAAGGAAACAAAAAATTTAGAATTATTTTCTTGAAAATTCAGTGGCACTTTCTATTCCGAAATAATAATAAAATCTGCATTTAAATTTCAATCTTTCTTTGTGAATATCCAATTCACTGCTTGAGGAATTTTAATGAATTTTGAGACTTCAGACTCAAATTTCCGCGAATAAATTTAATTTCAGAATCAACTTCCTTCACCGATTAAATCTATGATCGCTATTTGAAAAATATACACTGTGTGTACTGTATTTGCATTTCTCTGTGGGGAAAAAATTGTCGAAAAAGTTTGGTTTCGATTGTCTTGGACCTTCTCAATGAATTTCGGTAAGATTTATTGATATGTTTTCAAGCCAGATAACTGCTTCATTTTTGCGTTAATTTTTTCCCGTTTCAATGAGCAGGTGAGACGAATTTGAAAATTGGCATTTAGCCGATTGAAAAAAGGAGATACAAAGCAGTATGTATAGATTTTTGTATTGCAAACTAGTTTTCAAAGTTTGAAAAGAAGAAAATAAAGCCTGAAAATATTTTGTTGAAAATTAAGCGTTACTGCGTTTTCAGAAGTAATTAAATCTGTCTTTTCTATATCATTCGTGGATATTCGATTCACTACTTGAAGAAAGCTTGAAGCATTATGATAATTTAGACGTAATTTCCGCAAAGAAATTCAAAATGAGAATTCGGGTCTAATTCTAATTCAATCTCCTTGTTTGCTTTAAATTAAATTATATAACTTATTTGCGTTTCTCTGCAGGAAAAAATTGTTGACGCCGTTCTGCTTCGATTGTTCTGGGAACATTCTCATGAATTTCGACTTTTTTTTTTTTTTTACGAGAGCTCTTCAAAAAGTATGAAAGAGACGTATTCAGCCACTTGAAAAAAATGAGGATATTTAGACAGTATTGTATTGCGAACCTTGGGCGTAAATTGCGACGTCATCGGCGCCATGGGTTTCCGAGTACAGGTTGACGGGCACCAACGGTTGGTAATCTGGTTTCTCCACTGCTTCACCTTGTGGATCTGGTCGTTGGGTTTCGTTGTATAAATACGGCCGTGGGCCATTGGCGTAGGCCATTTTCAGGTAAGCTATTCCGTCATCATCATCGCCACCCATACCTGAGGAGAACCAATGGATAATTTGTGTGAAAATTGTTTTTAAGAAATCTCTATTTTTTTTTTGCCCGTTGAGTGTTCCATAAGTTATGAGACTTGGCAACTTTGTGAATGGTATTTTATTTCCAGAAGACGAGAACAACGGACATCTTCCTGAGAATTCTCGGCTGGTTTTGCAACTCGGTTATCGTATAAATAAAATTGAATTAAAAAAGCAATTTTATTGAAAAGTGATGCCGAGGTGAAGGCTAGGATTAAAAAGTATTTTCGCTACTCCTGAGAAAATTCTTGCCCTTAGACGTATGCTGTGGCAAAGATAAAAAAAATGAAAATTGAGTATTGAAGCAATTTGATTTAGAAAAAAAAATAATATGGCACAGTGCTGTATTTTATGAAATGCGGTACTGTATTAGTCAGCCCATTCATATCTGAATCGCCCTTGTGTATTAAATTGAGCATTTGAAATATGAACTTTGTAATCTTTTTCCAAAAAAGTTATGGCACAAGGAAACTGCAACTAACGTTTCGCAAAATTTGTATACTGTATTATTTTGTAATAAGCATTTTGTAATGTGTATTTACAATTTCTTTGACGTTCCATATTGAATAATTTTCGTTTTCTGCCCAGAATTTCGGTGTTTGTAAACTTGCACTGAGTTGAACTCGGAAGATTGAGCGCATTCAATTTATTGTTCCCTGATTTATTCAAATTATTATTTTAATTGCTCTTGATTGGTTTTAAAGTATTTTTATTTCATTGTTTTGTACTCACCATGCAATGGTGTTCCACGTTGTGGCCATCCACCGAAAGACATGGTGTGTGAGTGATCGGCTGTGACTATGATGAGGGTTTCATCCGGGTCAGTCATTTCCATGGCCGCAGAAACTGCAGACTCCATGTCTAGAAGTTCCAGGAATGCGGCATTCATTTGTAAGGCGTGATGAGCGTGGTCAATTCTTCCTCCTTCCACCTGTGTGTGTTTGCGTGTGCATTAAAAAAAAAAATTGTGAAGTCCATCGAAACGATTTGTAAGTTTCAATTTGCGTTATATTATTAATTAGTGATTTTTCGTACGCTTTCTGCTGCTTCAAGATTTATGTTAGAATGATTCATGATTAATTAATGATTTAGATATTTTACTTTAGTGAAAATGCTCACAAAATAATCAAGAGCACAAGAAAACCTTTGAATATGATTCTCAGGAGATACTTGGTGGAGGGTAAAAATATATCGGGAACTCTGGTGCCTCAATATTTCATTTAGCACTGTTTTTTTTTTTTTAAATCTTTTACTTCGGATAATTAAAGTCTCACACAATGGATTTTTCGCACATACAGTAATTGATGCCTGTCGCCACCGATTTTAACTTCAGATTTTGAACTATACTTGGGTAATTAAATTTATGAAGAGGGTTTTTTTTTTTTGTAAAAATTGAAGTTGCTGTGAGAAATTCTTTCGCGTGCGCAATTTTTCCAGAGCTTTCAAATTTTTTGTTGCTTTCGTGCCTTTTTGCTGTTATTTTATGATATTTTCATTAATTTATTTGAGAATTATTGAAGGAATACTCGAAGAATCTCGGATGCAGTTGCGCCATTCATTTGGCAATTCTACGTTTCCTTGAATTCTCTCCTTTTAAAAATTCTTGAATAGTGCGAAAACCTCGAGCTGATTATTATTTTTTGCGTGATAATGGCGCTGGATTTCAGCTATTGGATTTACCAGCAACGAAAATCCGTTGTCATTTCCTGCTTGCAGAATTTCGATTGCCTTTTTCGTCATTTCGGCGAGAGACGGGAATTGTTCTCTGTTTTCTGGCGACGCTTCCCTTTCGTGTGCGTACGGCAGGTGATCATTGGCAAATAATCCTGTTGAACACACGAGATTCTTTTAGTCATGAAACTGAAGACGGTTTTTCATTTCTGATTCAAAGTTGAGGCGTGATGAAGTTTGAACGGGAAATTACGTTTTTTGCGTCAAGTTTTTCAAGTTCGGTCTTTTTTTCAATGTAGTGTGCTTTCTCGTCCTTGTGAAGTTCCTGCCATTCTTCGATCAAACTTTCCTTCACGTTTCTGACGCAGGATCCTTTGGGGTCGTTTTCTGTGGGCTTAATAGTCCCGTCGAAGGCATGTCTTCCGCCTCCGAAAATCACCTGGAAATTACAAATTTTTATAATTTTTTTTTTGGGTGCTGTGTGGGGATTTATTTCATCAAATATTTATTGAAACGCTGACAATCCTCGAGATGTTTGAATTTTATTACATTTGTTTCTTGTGTTCTGCGCGTGAGGGTTGAACTCGAAATATCAGCGAGTTTTGGCCATAATTTGAAATCCCCACGATTTAATTATGGGATGCATTAATTTTGGCCAGCTTTTATTATTGCAAAATGCAACGATTTTATGCATGTGTTTGATGACTTTAATCTTGTGTGTTCATCTAGCAATTTTAAGAAAATCCCTTCGAATTTCGTAGAGCGCATTCTTTTCAAACGCTTTCAAATTGCTATAATATAAATAAATAAAAATTAGGACTCGTTTTGGGATACTGGGGAGTTTTATCTCTTGCGCTGCGAGTAATAATACATGGCCAATTATTTTCAAAGCTTTCCAAATTTATACTTCACGCTATTTGTCGAAGCATATTTAGAGTTGATTGATTAAATGAATCAGTATTTCCGCGTTCATCATAGTTACTTCGCTACCGAGTAATACAATCAGAAATTGCTTTTTATTTAGATTAGAACGTATTATTTGGCAATTTGAAGTTTTGGAGGTTTTCGTTTTTGCAAAAAAAACGGAATAATTTCTGGGTGATGTTTCGCAATTGAATGATTCCATCAAAATAATGCGCCGATTTGATTTTGTTTTTGTCGGAAGCGTTTTCTTACATTTCACGTAATTTGAGCAAAACTTCCTTTGAATCTTGTGGAGCGAAACATTTTGTGGACGCTTTCAAATTGTTGCTGTAATTTGAATTATTGTATATTATTGTACTGAATCTACCTTGAGACCCTTGCCAGTCTTTCCGTTGACCAACTGGGTTGCAATGTCTTTGCAATGATCCGGAAGTTCAGTTTCTGGACCTTCCCAGGGTTCGAATCCGACGCATTCCCAGTCACGATTGGCACAATGTGCGTAGGCAGCTGCTGGTGTGGCGTGTGTGATTCTGGTTGTTGTAACGAGTCCTGCATTTTTTTTTTTTTTAGGAATGAGGCAGAAAGAAGGAGAGAATTGAATTAAATTCAAGTCATTTAAGTCGCCGTTTTCGTCATGCTTGAGCAAATACGGTATGCTGTATATATATATTCTATGGGCCTGAATTCTTCGAATACTTTGCTTGAACCTGCGGATCTAATCAACAAGGGTACGCGAGGGAATTTAATTATTTTAATTTGATTAAGGGGATTAGATTAAATTATTCCAGTTTTTGTAACATTCAAGAATTTAAGCTGTGATACCTCGTATCGCAGTGCTAGAAAAGTTTCCATCTCGGTCCCTTCCTCTGTCCCTTCCATTTTATTGCCAAAAATGCCGCCATGTGCAAAAAAGAGCGTCAATTGAAAATAGCACTTCGTATCAGGCGAAGGTGTAATGTTTCCAACTCTTTTTGGCGCCTCGTCTTTTATAAAAAAATTGCACAGTTATAATTTTTCAAAAATAATATACGGTACGACTATGTGGGCAAAACATATTTGTCCTAAAATAGGAATTTCTCGCAGAAATGGCATGTTCTTTGAAGCTTTACGCACAACCCAGGCATCAGTATTTGAAGAAAAAAAATTTTGATTATCATTATTTTATTTTGGGTGCACAACAAATAAGCTGAGGTTGAGCCAATTCTGAGACTGCCAGTGACATCTACCTTTGTTGAAACGCTCGACTGTTGCATAACGACGGACGAATACGCAAACAAGTATATTTCTTCATCTCGAAGATTTTGTTGGATCATTGAAAACGATTTGCAAAAATTGAACGTATCCTTTTTCGTAGAATGAACTTATTCTATTTATTCGATGCCTTTTTTTTTTAAACTGGAATTCCATCCGCAATTCTTTTGCGGATTGAGTGAATGAAAGACTTGTAGGATTGTCTTTTATGCCCTGATTAATATTCTTGAACATACGAACCAGCATTTCGTCCGTCGTCGATGGCCCATTGGAGAAATGAGTCGACCTGGTTCTCTTCGATGTTGCTGGCATTGCAGTCGTACCGAGGTACGGCAGCAGTGACTCCTACCGTACCCGAGTTCGCCTTGACGCCAGTCAAGTACGCTGTTCCTGTACCTGCTGAATCTGGTACTTGGAAATCCACATTGTATGTCTGTCAGGAAAAGGACACAGTATTTTATAGCTTGAATTTTTGTATTTTTGAGTTTATTCTTCTGCTTTGAACCTAAAAAAAATAGAGATTTTGGTTCAGTGAGTCCCCACAAAACGAAAAATCCGAATAACGACATTTTTAGGGGGCTGGGATGGGAATCACATTACGAAATTTTTCACTTAATTTTTGGCTCAAAAATGTGCAAATTTTAGAAAGTTTTGGACTGGAAATTGAGAATTTTTACAATATCATGTAGAAAGAGGGAATAAAAGCGTAGTTTAACATTTTCTTGTCTTCAGAATATGAGAAGTTCAGAAAGTTATGAGCCAAGAAATTTTCTCAGGATTACTTAAATTTCATTCTGAACAATATTAAATTCAAAATTTTCTGTCGATAAATACGCAGATTGTGGGAATTATTGCTGCCTTTTCGTAAGTGACTGGAACCAATCAAATCGATTAAAATTTAATCTTGAGGACGAACGCGTTTTACATAACGAAACTCGTCCAAAAAAGGAAAAGTTTCCTTATGAGGGAACCGATTGTATTTGGTGATGGAACGAAATGTGGCGAACTTACTTTTGATAATGCGATGTGAGGAAAATCTTCGAACACCAAAGACGCTTCTTCTCCTGTCGAATCGATTTTTGTCAATTAGCGTACGGCAGGTGATCATTGGCAAATAATCCTGTTGAACACACGAGATTCTTTTAGTCATGAAACTGAAGACGGTTTTTCATTTCTGATTCAAAGTTGAGGCGTGATGAAGTTTGAACGGGAAATTTCAAATGGACAGTCAGTCATGTTTTTAGTCCGTGTTTTTTTTACATTTTTCAGTTATTTGATCTGCAGTATTTAATCGCAGTTATTTGAAATGTGAAAATTGTGTTAAACCACTTGAAATGCGGGATAATTTTGCAGAAGCTTGAATTCATGTGGCACTTATTGGGTTTCATCAGTGAATCAAATTTGAATAACTTTTAAACTTCATTACTCACCGAGCACTCGGTCGACGTTTTTTGCGTCAAGTTTTTCAAGTTCGGTCTTTTTTTCAATGTAGTGTGCTTTCTCGTCCTTGTGAAGTTCCTGCCATTCTTCGATCAAACTTTCCTTCACGTTTCTGACGCAGGATCCTTTGGGATCGTTTTCTGTGGGCTTAATGGTCCCGTCGAAGGCATGTCTTCCGCCTCCGAAAATCACCTGGAAATTACCAATTTTTATTATTTATTTGTGCTGTGCGGGGATTTATTTCGTCAACATTTATTAAAACGCTGAAAATTCTCGAGATGTTTGAATTTTATTACATTTGTTTCTTGTTTCCGGCGCGTGAGGGTTGAACTCGAAATATCAACGAGTTTTGGACATAATTTGAAATCCTCACGATTTTCTTGATGGGATGCATTAATTTTGGCCAGCTTTTGGTAAATTATAAAATGCAACGATTTTGTGCACGTGTTTGATGAGTTTACTCTTGTGTGTTCATCTAACGCAATTTTAAGAAAATCCCTTCGAAATTCGTAGAGCGAGACATTCTTTTCAAACTTTTTCAAATTGCGATAATATGAAAAGAAATTTAGGACTCGTTTTGGGATCCTGGGGAGTTTTATCTCTTGAGCTGAGAGTAATAATACTGTACTGCAGATGCATGATCAATTATTTTCAAAGCTTTCCAAATGTATACTTTACGCTATTTGTCGAAGCATATTTCGAGTTGATGGAGTAAATGAATCAGCATTTCCGCGTTCATCATAGTTACCTCGCTACCGAGTAATACAATCAGAAATTCCTTTTTATTTAGATTAGAACGTATTATTCGACAATAAGAAGTTTTGGAGTTTTTCCTTTTTGCCAGAAGAAAAACGAATAATTTCTGGGTGACGTTTCGCAATCGAATGATTCCTTCAACATTATGCACCGATTTTTTTCTTGAATTTGTCGGAAGCGTTTTCTTACATTTCACGTAATTTGAACAAAACTTCCTTTGAATCTTGTGGACGCTTTCTAATTGGTGCAGTAATTTTAATTATATTATTGATTCTACCTTGAGACCCTTGCCAGTCTTTCCGTTGACCAACTGGGTTGCAATGTCTTTGCAATGATCCGGAAGTTCAGTTTCTGGACCCTCCCAGGGTTCGAATCCGACGCATTCCCAGTCACGATTGGCACAATGTGCGTAGGCAGCTGCTGGTGTGGCGTGTGTGATTCTGGTTGTTGTAACGAGTCCTGCATTTTATTTTTGTTGTTGTTAAGAATGAGGCAGAAAGAAGGAAAGAATTGAATTAAATTCAAGTCATTTAAATCGCCGTTTTCGTCATGCTTGAGCAAATACAGTACCTTATATATATTGAACCTGCTGATCTCATCAACAACAAGGGTACTCAAGGGAATTTGCATTAGTTTAAAGTATTCCAGTTTTTGTACCAGTCAAGAATTTAAGCTGTGATATCGCTGTGCGAGAAAAGTGTTCATCTCCGTCTCTTCCATTTTATTGCCAAAAATGCCACCATTTTGTTAATCTCCGTCTCTTCCATTTTATTGCCAAAAATTCCAACATTTGCAAAAAAGAGCGTCAAGTGAAAATAGCACTTCCTATCAGGGAAAGTGATAATGTTTCCGACTATTTTTGGCATCTCGTCTTCTATGAAAAATAAAATTGCACGGTTATTAATTTTCAAAAATAATATACTGTACGGTACAAAAAATAGGTGCAAAAAATAGTTGTCGTGAAATAAGAATTTTCGCAGAAATTGTGTGTCCGTTGAAGCTTTACGCACAACCCAGACTTCAGTATTAAAAACATTTTATTATTATATTTTCGGCGCACAACAAAGAAGCTGAGGTTAAGCAAATTCTGAGACTGCCAGTGACATCTACCTTTGTTGAAACGCTCGACTGTTGCATAACGGCCGAATTCGCCTAAAAGTATATTTCTTCATCTCGAAGATTTTGTTGGATCATTGAAAACGATTTGCAAAAATTGAACATATAATTTTTCATAGGATGAACTGATTCTGTTTATTCGATGCCTTTTTTTAAAAACTGGAATTCCATCCGCAATTCTTTTGCGGATTGAGTGAATAAAAGACTTGTAGGATTGTCTTTTATGCCCTGATTATTATTCTGGAACATACGAACCAGCATTTCGTCCGTCGTCTATGGCCCATTGGAGAAATGAGTCGACCTGGTTCTCTTCGATGTTGCTGGCATTGCAGTCGTACCGAGGTACGGCAGCAGTGACTCCTACCGTACCCGAGTTCGCCTTGACGCCAGTCAAGTACGCTGTTCCTGTACCTGCTGAATCTGGTACTTGGAAATCCACATTGTATGTCTGTCAGGAAAAGGACACAGTATTTTATAGCTTGAATTTTTGTATTTTTGAGTTTATTCTTCTGCTTTGAGCTTAAAAAAAAATAGAGATTTTGGTTCAGTGAGTCCCCACAAAACGAAAAATCCGAATAACGAAATTTTTAGGGGGCTGGGATCGGAATCACATTACGAAATTTTTCACTTAATTTTTGGCTCAAAAATGTGCAAATTTTAGAAAGTTTTGGACTGGAAATTGAGAATTTTTACAATATCATGTAGAAAGAGGGAATAAAAGCATAGTTTAACATTTTCTTGTCTTCAGAATATGAGAAGTTCAGAAAGTTATGAGCCAAGACATTTTGTCAGGATTACTTAAATTTCATGCTGAACAATATTAAATTCAAAATTTTCTGTCGATAAATACGCAAATTGTGTGGATGATTACTGCGTTTTTGTGAGTGTTGGATACAATTAAATCGATTACAATTTAATCTTGTGAAACTTGGGAATTTTTCAAAAAACTTTTAAAACGAATGAATAAAATCATTAGTTCTAAATTTTCTTGTCTTTATAATGTGAGAAGTTCAGAAAGTTCTGAACAGGAGTTTTTTCAGGATTACTTCAATTTCATGCTGAACAATATTAAATTCAAAATTTTCTGTCGATAAATACGCAGATAGTGGGAATTATTACTGCCTTTTCGTGAGTTGTTGTAACCAATCAAATCGATTAAATTTTAATCTTGAGGACGAACGCGTTTTACATAACGAAACTCGTCCAAAAAGGGAAAAGTTTCCTAATGAGGGAACCGATTGTATTTGGTGATGGAACGAAATGTGGCGAACTTACTTTTGATAATGCGATGTGAGGAAAATCTTCGAACACCAAAGACGCTTCTTCTCCTGTCGAATCGATTTTTGTCAATTGACCTTTCAAGATTCTGGCGGCTGTCGTAGTCGGAATACTCATTCCGTCTCCCAGGAACATGATTACGTTTTTCGCCCGAGCCACATTCAATTTGGCATTTATCTTCATGCTCTTGTCGAGCTCATTCTTTGCCAATTTGTTCCAGTATTCCTTACCTGGAAACGAATGAAGCTTTTTGTTCATTATTGTCTTTGTTTTTGGGAAATTTCCTGGAGAATTAAATGTCGAGACTCACTGTATTCATCCGGGTTGATGTTCACAGGTGCTGTTGGACCTTTTTTGAAACGATGATATCTTGTTGGACTAGTGGAAACTTGCTGGATTATGACGAAGGCTGTGACTGCGATTCCAAAGATTTTTCCGTATGAAACATTCCCGGAAAACATCTCGGTATATTGAAAAATTGACTACCTTTATGGCGAATTTTCTGAAAACTTGTAAAAAGAATGTCTTGTGTTATACGTTGATGAAAAATGTGACAGGTGAGCATAGATTTGCAGAAGAAATGCTGGCTTTTTAGTTTTAATTTTCGAGACTTTTAGCGTTCGCCCATCGTGTTTCTCAAATATTCTTTAATCATTTGAATTTTTTCCGTAGAAAACTTGTTCCTGCAATTTGCCTTGAATTTTAACGATTTTTTTTCAACAATTTTCTTGAATCATTTCTCTAGAGTCAGCGATTTCGATTTTTAAGGCTTTTGATTTTGGAGATTTCATACGATTGAATGATTGCACAATTTTCTTTCCGCAGAGGATGAGTTGAAGGCGCGATTTTTCTTCTCCGCTAAAAGGGATGGTTTCCAGGTATTGTCAATATTTTTAAATGGTGTCTTGGAATGCAAAAAATCCAAATCGCTGAATTTCATCAGCAAGACTGCGCCGAAAATTTTGAAATTTTGCAAATAATGTTTTCGATTTCAGTTCTGACCATTGACGGGAAAAATATCGGAAATTCTTGCTCCCCGATTGATATTTTACGAACATTTCTACATTCATAATCCTTCCCATGAATTTCCAAAATCAGAGCGCTCATTTCATTTCAGCGTGGTTTGCAATTCTTGAGCATTTATTATGAAAGAAAGATTTTCTTCCATTCGTGAAATATTTTGCGTACAAATTTATTTCCTGCGAATTCATGAAATATGAAAGACAAGAATTATTACCCTTTTTCGTCAAAATCCCGTGCGAAATAAAATTCTATTTCTCAACTACTTTAGTTGAGCGAAATGTTTTGGAAATGATCAAATTTATTTCCGTGTAAAAATAATTTCCATCATCTCCGATCTACAAGACTCAAGAAGGGACGCAAAACATGCATGAAACTCATAAATCAACTCTCTTGTTTGCAAATGCGGAATTTCCCAACATTTTTTTGATTGACATTATGCTTCACTTCTCCGATGAGAGATATAAGACATTGAACGCAGTCGAAATGAGACTGAATGGAAAATAATGCTCGTCAGATGGCAGAAGATCGACTGCATGAAGTAGCACCTTGAGCCCTTATCGGAATCTCTCCTAAGAGTCAGTACAATCGATTTTTATTTCGGAACTGTGTAAAATATCTCATGCAAAGTTTTCAGGTCAAAGGTAGTCTTTGTCTCGTACAGTATTTGGGATGATGTAATATTTCCGTCGTGTGTGTGGAATGATTTGTGGAAAGGAGAAGAAGTTTCATCTTCGTGTGATGACATGGTAATCTTCGTGATGAGGAAAGATTTTATGTGTGCATGATGTGTGGCATTTCTAATGATCATCGAAATGCCGAGAGAGAAAAATCGTGTTCTTATCTCTGACCTCTCTCTCTCTCTCGCAAATTTTGCTCTATTAACAGACGCAAAGAAAGATCTACTCTCTTACGCCAGCCTTGAGCTATAACAAACAAAGACGTATAAATAGTATAAAAGCAAAACAGCAAACTCATTGCGTAAGTGGTTTTCCACCCGAACGTAATCTTTTCTGAGCCCAGGAGGCCGACGTTTCTCGAACTTTCGATATATACATATTTTTAAATACTTTTCGTAGGTTCCCGGAAATTGCACAATCAAGCGTGTCCCAAAACAGCACTCGCTGAAAAACATTTTCTGCTTTAAACGTCGCTTGTTGAATCGAACACAGGCCCAAAAAGAGTCGAAAACGATAACATTTAGGGATAATTCTAGAGCGTAACTGTTTTCCTTTGTCATAAAATGGTTCGATTCGGTTAGTTTATGATTTTATTATTATTTTTGGAACAAGATTTATTTCTGAAAGCATAAATGACAAAATAACCCGAATGAAAGCATATTTTTTTTAGAGCAGTGTTCCCCAATCCGTGGTCCGAAGTTTTCTTGCCTGACCGCGGGACATTTTCTTCAGCATAATAAATTCCTCACAAATACAGTAGTAATGAAGTCTGTTATCTTTATTTGAAATTTCGGAAAGACAATGACAGTTGAAATTATCTGATGAAACACAAAATTTGGCTTTTCTCGTAATAACGCTTGAGATAAATTTTCACCTGCTGAAATAATTTATTTTAATTTTTAATTCTGAGAAACCTTTCTTCAAGCCCACCTTTCTAATTTTTTGAAGTCATTCCACTAAAGCTGCTTGATTTGTTCTTAACTTGATTTTTGCAAAAACCAGGAACATTTTAAATACCTGCCATGAGGTCTTTGAGGCAAATTTTTTTGAGTCTGTACAAATTTTATGAAACTTAGCTGGTCCGCAGAAATTTTTTTGAAAATTTTGCAGGCCCAAAAAAGTTGGGGAACGCTGTCATAGAGTCTTGAATTTATCTAAATGTTATAGTTTCTTGGTGCTTTTCGAGGTTTGCGCTATTCACAAATTTTTCGACGCCTCCTTTAATTATTCAATTACAGTAATCAATCATGATTGTGTCTTCCACAGGAAAAGAAAAATCGAATATATTTTTTTTGTTCAAGTGATTTTTGTGCATTGAAAAAATGGCGAAAACGGTAATGATCACTGGCAGCTCCCGTGGAATCGGACTCGCGCTCGTCAAGGAATGTCTTTCATCTGGACTTCAGGTAAATTAATTTTATTTTATTTTTAAAAATTTTGCATTTTATTCTTCATTCCGAGAAACTTGAAATTTTGCAGGTTATTGCCACGTGCAGGAATCCAAGTGCAGCTACCGAGCTTGCTGATTTACTGAAATCGAAGAATCAGGCCCCTGCGATAAAATTGGACGTTGAAGATCGTGCGAGTATTAAGGATGCTTTTGCTGAAGCCAAGAAAATCTCTCCTACTCTGGATATCCTTATCAATAACGCGGGTGAGTTTCATTTCTGGTTGAATACCCTCATGCTATGAGAAGCTTTCGTTTTCTTCGGATTTCGTTGATCATGCTCACAATTACGTACCGTATCTGAAATCTTACGTAAGAGTACAGTACAGTACTGTACTGTATAAGGCATTTGATAAATGTACTGTGATTGAAAATGCTCGTGAAGTCTTCGAATCTTGAAATTGATGCTCTTTTTTATTTAAAAAAAGAAAGAAACAATCAAGTTTAGGATTTGTTGTGAAGATTCGAAATGCACCTGCTGGAAACTTTTTCTGGGCATTGAAAGATGAAAACTTTTTCTGGGCATTGAAAGATGAAAATTTTTTCGGCTTTGGTCCGAGGAGTGGCGTGATAATACTGTAATTTGTTTCATGAAATTTGTGATTATAGAGCGCTTGTTATTTTTTGTGCTACCTAGCTTTTATATGGATGAAAAAATTAATTAAGTTTACTGACGTAGGTTTCCCTTCTAATCTTTTGATGAAATGAGTAACATCAGAATTGGAGCGAATTATGAAAAGCGTAATTTTATTGATGAACAAAGCTTCTGACTTGAAGTTACGTTCCATCTAGTTTTCAGGGTTCAGATTTCNACATGGTAATCTTCGTGATGAGGAAAGATTTTATGTGTGCATGATGTGTGGCATTTCTAATGATCATCGAAATGCCGAGAGAGAAAAATCGTGTTCTTATCTCTGACCTCTCTCTCTCTCGCAAATTTTCGAGATAATTGTCTGCGTTTCTTTCTAGATGAGAGAATGCGGTCGGAACTCGATATTGTTTGTTTCTGCATATTTATCATATTTTCGTTTTGTCGTTTGAGTAACGCATTCACCAAAAGGTGGGCTTTGTAATCTTTTCTGAACACAGGAGGCCGACGTTTCTCGAACTTTCGATATATACATATTTTTAAATACTTTTCGTAGGTTCCAGGAAATTGCACAATCAAGCGTGTCCCAAAACAGCACTCGCTGAAAAATATTTTCTGCTTTAAACGTCGCTTGTTGATTCTAACACAGGCCCAAAAAAGAGACGAAAACGATAAAATTTAGAGATAATTCTAGAGCGTAACTGTTTTCCTGTGTCATAAAATGGTACGATCCTTCTTGGAACAAGATTTCTTCCTGAAAGCATAAATGATAAAATAACCGGAATGAAAGCATATTTTTTTCGAGCAGTGTTCCCCAATCCGTGGTCCGCAGAAGTTTTCTTGCCTGACCGCGGGAAATTTTCTTCAGCATAATAAATTCCTCACAAATACAGTAGTAATAAAGTCTGTTATCTTTATTTGAAATTTCGGAAAGACAATGACAAATGAAATTATCTGATGAAACACAAAATTTGGCTTTTCTCGTATTAACGCTTGAGATAAATTTTCACCTGCTGAAATAATTTATTTTAATTTCTTATTCTGAGAAACCTTTCTTCAAGCCCACCTTTCTAATTTTTTGAAGTCATTCCACTAAAGCTGCTTGATTTGTTCTTAACTCGATTTTTGCAAAAACCAGAAACTATTTAAATACCTGCCATGAGGTCTTTGAGGCAAACCTTTTTTGAGTCTGTACAAATTTTATGAAACTTAGCTGGTCCGCAGAAATTTTTTTGAAAATTTTGCAGGCCCAAAAAAGTTGGGGAACGCTGTCATAGAGTCTTGAATTTATCTAAATGTTATAGTTTCTTGGTGCTTTTCGAGGTTTGCGCTATTTACAATTTTTTCGACGCCTCCTGTAATTATTCAATTGATCAATCATGATTTTGTCTTCCACAGGAAAATAAAAATCGAATATTTTTTTTTGATTCAAGTGATTTTTGTGCACTGGAAAAATGGCGAAAACGGTAATGATCACTGGCAGCTCCCGTGGAATCGGCCTTGCGCTCGTCAAGGAATGTCTTTCATCTGGACTTCAGGTAAATTTATTTTATTTTAATTTAGCAATTTTTGCATTTTATTCTTCATTTCGAGAAAATTTAAATTTTGCAGGTTATTGCCACGTGCAGGAATCCAATTGCAGCTACCGAGCTTGCTGACAATGACTTTAGCTTCTTAGTCCGGGGACGCTATTTTAACCTGCAACTTCTAGCACGCTCATAATTCCTACGAAAACGACTTCGGTTCTTTTAGAGAGGATGAGACCTATAGGAATAGTTATTGCGCCGTGAGTTTCATTTCTGGTTGAATACCCTCATGCTATGAGAAGCTTTCGTTTTCTTCGGATTTCGTTGATCATGCTCACAATTACGTACCGTATCTGAAATCTTACGTAAGAGTACAGTACAGTACTGTACTGTATAAGGCATTTGATAAATGTACTGTGATTGAAAATGCTCGTGAAGTCTTCGAATCTTGAAATTGATGCTCTTTTTTATTTAAAAAAAGAAAGAAACAATCAAGTTTAGGATTTGTTGTGAAGATTCGAAATGCACCTGCTGGAAACTTTTTCTGGGCATTGAAAGATGAAAACTTTTTCTGGGCATTGAAAGATGAAAATTTTTTCGGCTTTGGTCCGAGGAGTGGCGTGATAATACTGTAATTTGTTTCATGAAATTTGTGATTATAGAGCGCTTGTTATTTTTTGTGCTACCTAGCTTTTATATGGATGATTTTTAATTAATTCAAATGACTGCATCCAAAGGGAAGATTAGAAAACTACTTTACTCATTGTAGTCTTAACCTCGCTTAATACTTTTCGCATTAAAATAACTACTTGTTTCGAAGACTGAACTTCAAGCGTTCCATCTAGTTTTCAGGGTTCAGATTTCGCAAGTGTACTCAATTATCTTCGTATTGTTTCCATTTTACAATACAAACGTATCAGTTCGAAAATTTGACATTAATGTTGTAAAGCACGATACGTACGTAATATCTCATCATTGCATTGTTGATATGTATATAGAGAAGCAAACTAAAACAAATGTCCGGAATTTTTTCTTGCTTGTTCTTGTTCCACTCACAGTTACTCTGGAACTTCAGACTTCAATGAAACAATTATAAACTGGTATCCCCGAGTTAGACGCGAACCCATTTTTCAAAACTATAAAACTGCAATATTTAATAAAAATAAGAAGACCCAAATTGGAATTTAGGCATGAATTGATTCTGAATTCTACCACTTTTTATTATTTCAATTACCGTCCGTTTATATGTTAAAATCGGCCCAAAATTCCGAATTGGAATAAAATATAGTCCAAACCCGAACTTCTAAAACTTTTTTAAAATTATGCATACTCGCTTGTAACTCGCGCCCCTTTTTTTCTTTCAATTTTGAGAAAAAATGTGCGTGTGATACTCGAGTAAATACGGTAGTGTGCATATTTTTATAGTGTTTCATCATATTCAAACCATGTTATCCTTATTCAATTGTAAAAGGACGGTTGAAATGATTTTAACAGAAATGATATTTCCGGATTCTTCATTATTCAGGAGTAATTGGACAGCTCCCAGGCCTTGCGCTCGAGACCACCCCGGAAGACATGCTTTCCACCTACAAGACGAACGTTGTTGGCCCCATGTTGGTGAACCAAGAAGCCATTGGCCTTCTTCGCGACGACAAATCCAATCCATCCATTGTGGTCAACATGACGACAGCCATGGCATCTATAGCCGAAAATGGATCCGGCAAATTGACTGCGTATCGCTGCTCAAAAGTCGCACTCAACATGCTCAATATGAACTTTTCGCAAGAGAAACCCGGCGTGGTATGGATCGCTGTGCATCCGGGTTGGGTCGACACTGACATGGGAAGATCCAGTGGAGCCCCTCCGCCATTGAGTCCCCAGGATTCTGCCTCGGGCATTTTGAAAACGGTGTTGGGTTCGAAATTGAGTGATTCGGGCGCGTTCTTGCGATACAACGGAGAGAAGATCCCGTGGTAAAGAAGAAAGGAAAAAAAATTATTTCACTTTGCTTCTGTTTTGATGCGCTGAACGATGCTTTTTTTCTTCAAAGAGTTCCCCTTTTTGTCATTCAAAAGGCTGTTTTTCTTTCGCGGTTCTGTTTTTGAAACTACGCGTGTAAGCACTAAAACATTCGACCGGTATAGATTTTTTCTGACCAAAAAAACAATGGAGCTGATTAATTTCTGAAAACGGTATTCCAAAAAGTGCATTGTCTAGTGATGAATATATAACCTCTTATGTGTTTATCGTTCAGTCCAGAATCTTGACGCACTTCTTCGTATTTGTCATACAGTATTACGTCATCATGATGGTATGAGGCTTTCAAGTTGATTATAATCGAAACATTTGAATTGTTCGGAGTTCTTTTTTCATGCTGGTGACACAATTTAAATTCTTCGAAAAACATATGCGAAAATGTTATTTTCTATTGACTTTATTCGAGCAACTTCATTATCTGTTGAATTTTTATCCGTATTTAGTCATGTGTGCGTTATTTTTTTTATTCAGAATCTTCGGCTACTACATCATTTACTTGCCTCTTGAAGTGGTACGATTTCCTTTTTAAAATTCCTTCAATGTTTTCGGCTGTTCACTAGCTTTTCTCGTTGATTGGGGAATACGTTGAACCTCTGAAGAAAATATTAAAGTATGAAATTATTACGTAATAATCTGAGAAATCCATATTCTAGAGCCTGAGCAATTAATTTGTGGATTATTTTGATTTTTGGATCCTAGTGTACAGTATTTTATTTTCTTGTTATTGCATTTCAATGCCTCGTGTACGAACGGAATATGATCATCTTTTCGGCGTTCCGTTGCAAAGAAAAATCTGAACCTTTAAAAAAAATTTAGCCTCGTTTACTGGCGAATTATTGGAATTCAAAGGACAAAAACATGCGTTAAATGTTATTTTTCATGTATTCTGTAAAATGTATTCTCGTAGATTTAATCTGAACTGTCCGTCTGTGCGTCTGATGGGCGGGGAACTTTTCTGCTTCGATCGTATTACCTTGTCTCGTGATCGGATGGGATGATTTTATTTTTCTCCGCGACGTTTTCAACTATTGCGTGGTTAATGGATCAGTTGAAGCTTTCGCGGGCTTTGAGGGTTTGTGAGAAGGGAGAAGAAAAAGAAACTGTGAGGTGCGTGCTGTCGGTCACGTCAACGGCTTAAAAAGGTTTATTCCTGTGAAGCGCGTCGTATGAGAAAGGCGTGAAACGAGTTCCTGTGGATTAGTCGAGCGTTCTTCATTTATCACTTGATGCGTTAAATCCGCTTTATAAAAACGCAATTCTTGGAGTTGTGATGTTTCATCAGCTGAGTGTGTTATTGTTCTCCGTTTTTTAAGAGTTTGTTGAAGGAAGTTTGTTTTGTGCCGTTATGTCGTTGATCAAAACGTTGATTGTGAATGTCGGAGATAATCATGACGGATTGTTGTACCGTCTATCGAAAGGTGAGTCTCGATTAGTGATCCCCACATTGTTTCGCTTGTTCGGGACATGATTCCCAATTGATGCTAATTTTGTCATGCACGAATTATCCAGGCTTTTATTTATTTTGACGTTTACTCGCGTTCATTTGAAGGTCGAAAGAAGGTTGAGAGCTCAGGATCATTAATTATGCGTAAATTTTGAGAGAAAATTCCCGTATGTTCGCCTTTTTTCTGTGCGTTCATCACGAAGTGGTTTTCGAATTTTTTGTAATTTACGGATGATCAAATTTTTAGATCGCCCTCATCTTTTCATCTTTCACTTAAAATTAAAACTTCAAGATCACTTCACATTATTGAGTTCCTCCGATTCAAGTTCTAGTGAGGTTTACTTTCGCCTTGTTATTGGATCCATTGTTAGTCTCAATTTTCGTTTTAAATTTTTCAGGTGATACCTTAAGATTGAAGAAAGGTTCCACCCTCTATGGTGTACCCAATGCAGTCATTACCACTAATCATCCAGAGGAAGGAGTGGAATTTCACAGACATCAGTTTCGGGAGTTGGAATGGACGATACCCAAAGACGAATCGGGTTGCGGGTTGATAATGGCGGATCATTTCGTCGATTTGCCCATCCGTTCATCGGGTTCATTTCGGTTCAACGTCGTAGTTTCTGGGTTCGTGTTTTCAGAAA